CTTGTAGATACACTACTACAGAATGATTCTTTAACGGCGCCCAATAGACAGCGGATAAATTAGAACCGCTGTCTATTCTTCAATGAAAATGTTCTCTCTTTACAAATCACTACTTTAATTGGGAGTATAAATAGTGTATACGTCCTAGCACCCGATAAAAAAAGGCCGCTACCTTTTCCCTTGCAGATCGGTGAAGACTTCTCAAATTAAATCTCTCTCCCCATCTCCAGCAATCTCCACCATCTCCAGTAACCGATGCCCTCTCCCCTAATCAGAGCAAGTTCTTCCCTTTTTAGTTCATCACGGGAATAGTAGAGTCGCCTTTACCTCGATTCAAGCTCAATTGAAGCCCAATTTGTGGAGGATTATAAGAAAATTGGGATTATCTTTCAAGGTCTAAAGTTGGATTTCCAATCCAATTGAAGAATCATTTGATTTGAGCTGGAATTTGGATTTGCTGTTACTGTCCACCGCAAGGGTTTGGTCTCCTGATTTTACCAGGTTCTTGTTTGTTTTGCTCCTGATTTTTGTGGTTTTTTGGTCATTTTATTTTGGAATTGAAACTGCCGTTTTATGCAACAAATGCAATTGATTTTATGATTTCTTGAAAATGTGGTAATGTTCATGTTCTTCACTACTGCTATCTTATTGTTCTAATGAGGATCCGTGAACTCCTGATTTTGATGAAGCTTAGCTCATTGTGTCTTGCTTATGGCTTGTTTGAGTATGTTGAAGGAAAATGGGAGATGTTTTCCTTGGTTTCCCCGGGCTCCTCCCTCAGTCCCGCTCATATCGCATTCCTAAGGAGGCTATTGTCATTATTGTTTGTGTTCCTTGATTGGGATTGTGAAAAAAATGATAGTTCACTTGGATGCTGAATTTTGGGGTAGTTTTGGCTGATGTAAATATGAATAATCCTCTTCAGATGGGGCATCTGATCTTGAGGCTTTGTAATTTTGTTGGTTATCTTTGGGTTTAATCCGTGGTGCCTGATCACGTTGATTCTCTGGGAAGTTTCTATTTTCTTGTTTTGTGGAGCTATTTGAATGTTCTAATCTTTGGAGCTGGACTTTTGTGAATGAAAAAGATGGGCAAGGCTTGTGGTGTTTGATTCTTTGAGTATTAGAATGAATCTTTGTACTGCTATAGCTAAGGTTTATGTCTTGGGGAGCTTGGTGACCTCTGCCTAATGTTAAAACTTGATTTATGGTGGAGCTAATGGTTTCTTATTTCCCTAGACTCTAACTATCTTTTCTTTGTTGCATTGTCTTCATGGGATGGTTCATGTGCAGCTTTTATTGACAGTGGTTTATGGTGCTTTGGCCTGACATCTTTGAGGCAATCAAAACCCACTGGTTTTTTGGGAGTTGTGCACTTGGATTCTGTGTAGTACCCGTACCCCAAACTGGTTTCCCATTGTTGCATCCTTGTGCGTGAAAAGAGTCTGATGGTATATGTTTTAAGAGGTGTACCTTCTAAGCCAGTGGTAAAATGCACCAACTGTATGTATAAAATTTGCATAATGATGTTTTTCTTTCTATCATTTTAATTGTTTTACACACTGGAAACTCGATATTGAGAGCTAACTTTGAAGTTGTTGTCTTTCTTTGGTTCAAGATATTATTTAGGTCATTATGTTATGGAAATTTAAAAGATGCTTTGGCTGGGAAGCGGCTGGGATGGAGTCTACTGGAATGTTGTTTTGTTCAAAATTGTTATGTATTGTCTTAATTTGGTTTATAGGATGCTTTAGCAGCATCATACTTTTTATTGTACAGGTTTTGGGAAGGACCCCTATTTCATAATTTGAAAAGAATTTTTATTTTGCTTAATATATATACTTTGTTTATTGTTAAAGAAATGTTATAGCTCAATAAAATGTGTGTGATTGTAATTTTGTAGTAGGTGTAGTATCAAATATTATTTTTTTTTAAAACAATTATTTTAGACAGCGGATATTTATCTGCTATGAGAAGTGGACTTTAGACAGCGGATAAATATCCGCTGTCTAAAATAATGACTTTTAACAGCGTATATTTATCCGCTGTCTAAAGTCTGGACTTTTCCCACCGGGGGCATATACATCGGTTAAGAACCACTGTGTAAAGCTTAATTTATCCACTGGGAAAGGTGATATGTGTAGTAGTGATATGTCTTCTGCAGGATTTCACACTCAAGACTTAAGTCACATAAGTCTTGTTCCACAAGAAGAGTAATCTTTTTCAACCTCTCAACGAGAACTCTCATACGAGTAGAAATGAGAAAAACGATTAAGATCTATGGATGACAAGGACACACTCTTGAAAACAAATAATTTTCTCTCAAAATAACCTAATTTGAGGAAAGAATTAGTAGAGGATGAAGATAAAAAGAATGAGGTGTTTTTAGAGTTTTTCTCATATCTAAAAATGACTAAAGAAGAGGGTTTTAAATAAAGTAAAGAGAATAGATCCATTTGACCAATAAAAGAAAGGTCGATGCAGGACACATCATAAAAATGGATTTTTCAAAGTTTGAACATTGATGTTTCGCTACTGGAAAATCATGTAGAAAGATTTTAACCATAAAAATTGATTGTTTTGTTGGAAAAATAAATTTCTATATGTTGATTTTGAACCGTTAAGAAATAGACACCAGAAATCGATTATTACTAAGGAAAAATTGATTTTCGATGCAGATTTTTCAAAGACATGATCTTAAGGAATATTTTCACGGGAATAATGATCCAGAGACATATATTCATTGTCTCCCTTGTGTGTTTGCCTTGAATTGATGTTTCAATTATCCTAATAATATTCCGAATTCAAATTTTTCAATTCATATTTGAATTGGGTTGGGGTGGGGGAATAATGCTTCAATTCAAATTTTGAATTTGAATTGGGTTGGGGTGCAAAACTGAGTTCGAAAATTATTTTTTGTGTCAAACGATGTCCAAAAATATTTGAATAAAATATTTTTTCTTACCCAAAATATTTTCTAATATCTAAATACATATTTTGATAAATATTTGACACATCTTTTGTAACTGACTTTATAAAAGTATTTTTTGAACAATTAAAAATGATTTTTCAACTGAATACAAAATAACTATAATTTTTATATAACTCTCATAAAATTAATTTTGAAGTGAAAAATATTTTTGTCATGCTTAAAATATTTCCTAAAACTCAATTAAATGAAAAGTCTTCAGAAATCTTCTTCTTCACTTCTGTAAGGCGCTCCGTTAGGCCTCTTGGTTTTCATTAAATCTTGTATTCCTTCTTGAATACTTCGAGAATTTTGCACTTCAAGTCTTTTAGTTTGTCAATATAGCACTTTATTCTTGACTTGAATAACTTGTGTTTGTCAATTATTAAAACCTGTGAGTCAACACTTAACCGTACAAAAAAAGAGTTGAACTGAACATTCCAACATTAAAAACAATAATAGAGTTAGCATAGCCTTCTTTTGTCCCAAATATGCACTCATGTTTTACAAGTTATTAGGGGTGAACATTGAACGGTATGGTACAATATATAGCCTCTACCAACACCGTACCAAATATATTGGTTTTGTAAGATTTACGTCGTATTAATCCCGATCGTGAATTTTTTGTTCGATATGATTTGGTATCGGTTTTGGTATAAGTCGGGATAAATACATATGCACCTTATTTTAATTTTTAAATCTCACAAAAAAATTATTTTTTAAAAAAAATTTGAAAGTATAATTTAACAAAAAATATAAAAATGAAAAATCAAATGCAAGAAATACTTATGAAACTTTGTTTATATATCAGAAACTACAGTGAAAGGATGATTACAAAATGATATTCAAAATGTGTGTTAATATTTTTAAATTCTTTTACAAAAAATTAAAACTTAAATAACTGTACAATGTACAGGTAATAAAATTTGAGGCAAATTTTAATAATAAACTTATTATTTAATAAAATTATTATTATACATATATTTGGTTCATGATTTTTGGTATGAGATGTTACCTCATATCATTCCCAAATACCGAATCAAACATTCGATTCGGTACAATTTGGTTTTTTAGCGGTATTTTTCGGTTCGATTTTTACAATTTTTTCAAGAGTTTTTGGTATCGGTTCGGTACTTTCACCTCTACAAATTACAACAAAAATCCCAAACTTAACACTATTTTCTTAGTATTTTTAATCTCCGGTAAACCCGATCACGGGCTCGCATATTTGGCCCGCGCGTAAAATGACAGGCTTGGGCTTGATATTTTAGGGTACAGACCGAGGTTGAGTCTTATAAATGGCGGCCTGAATATTTTAGGGCTGGACTCAGATTTTAGGCCCAAGTCCGTGAACCAGGCCCGACACAAATGAATTAAAATATTTATTATTAGTATAATTATAATAAAATAATAACAACATTAATATTAATAATTGTAACGCCCTAAAAACCGGTCTAGGAATTTTAACTTTCTAGTACAAAGAAATGAAAAATACTAAAAAAAAAGTAATTAAAAAAATATATACGGAAAAAAAATAATGATAATAATAAAATTAAAAATAAAAAAAATGGTACTATTATTTATTTAGAAACAATCAATTTGGAATTTAATATTAAATGATTATTAGTAGAGATAAAAAAACGGAGTAAAGGGAAAGGGAAAAAAGTAGTTTGGTTCTCTACTATTCACATAATTTGTTCAAGTGAATCTACTTTTCTTAACAAACAGATTATGTTAAAATGATGTGTGAAAAATATGGAACTTAACAATATACGTTTTATATTTTTCTAAAAATATTTAGTAATTGGAATTGTGGAAATCGAACACGTGATACTAATCAAATGGAGAAGGAAAACTTTTGGTTTTCCTCCTCAACTCCACGCACTCCACAAGCAAACCAAGGGGCACCGAAATGCATGCATTGATCATCTCCATGATGGCAATAAGTAAATACTAATTTATTAATATTATTTAATTAATTAATTAAAAATCCTACCTAAACCTTTCACCACCCCTTTACCTATAAATAAGAACTTAAGGGCGGGCCGAAGGGAGGGGGTGAGAGGTGCTTAAGTGAGGTTGGGGGTAACGTAGCGTAGCGGGGAAGTGCTGCCGAGATTCTGTCAGACTACCGTTTCGTTAACGATATCGAAGGTGTGCCGTTGACCCTAACCTTTAGATATATATACCATGTTCATATTTTTTTTGTTCTTGGTGCATGTTATTGTTTTTTTATTTAATTGAATCTATTGCTATAAAATATAAGGAATGAAACATAAATTATATATATGTTTTTTTTTCTCGGCGGTACGTAGCAAAAAAAATACTCTAACAAGTATGTGGTAATGTTAAAGGGAATTCATACACGAGCAAATCCTTGTTCACGTACATCTGTTCGTAAAACTTATATGGATATCATCCAACATATATATACACAAAATTTCAAACAAAAAGGGTTATTTTTATAGAGCCGAAAGGTTATAGTCAAATACAAACAAAACCCTTGTAATTACTTTGTTTTTCCCCTTATGTACGAAATAATTTATAAAGAACTACTTAGACATAATTGATATACTTTTGACTAAATTGTTTCAAGTATATTTAATTAGTATTATTTAATATATGGTGTTGAAAACTAATATAAAAAAAAGGTAAATGGGTTCGGTATGTTATTTTCTTGGATTGATTAATGATTGGTTATGTTTTACATCTAAATATATATGTGTGTATCACTTTTAATGTTTAAGTGGTGAATTATTTGCTCACACAGTAACAGAATGGTTTAATACAAGAAGGGGACGAGACTGTTGAATTTTCATCTTTTTTAGAAAAAGATCAAATTATGTTTGATGGCATCACAGTGTTTTATTTAAACGGTCATACTAGGGTTAATCAAACAGTTAGTAGATGAAGTAAAAACTTCAACGTTATTTTAACGACGTACCCTGACCAGGTACTGTCACGTTTTACTAAGTGGGCCAAACCACTTTCAAGGCCAGACCGTGTCCATGTGGATGAGCCTATAAATAATCATACCACAACGTGCGCACGAGAACCCGACGATGACCCCGTGGGTCTAGGGTTCACTTCTGATTACTGGACCCGAGGTTACGGGGAGGTATCCGAAGTAAAACTTCGAATCGACTAGTGCGGTGTTCCAGCCTAGTCACGGCTTAGTTCCTAATTTGTGGTTAACCTAGTAGGTCAAGTGTTTTTTTAAATGTCCCCAAGTATCTTTTCAAAGTGAGATTATTTACTTAATGATTTTAAAAAGCTCATAAACCATGAGTAACTTAAAATGCCCAAAACAAATATATTTACATGTTATATATGTCTACTGGTTATTTGTCACTCAACTTATGCTGAGCGTGTAGTGTTTAACTGCACGCAGGTACTAGCAAGGGAAACAACTGCTGAGGAGGAAAGCATGGACGTGGAGGCCGTATCACAGAAGTTCTTATTTAATATTCAATAATGAATAAAACATCGAACTAACTTTTACTTTGTTTTTGGGCTTGAACCCAAGGTTGTATTAACTGTGGATGTTTTTACTTTATGTTTACCTGGAAAACCTTTTTTTTAAATTCTCTTTAGCTATCAAAAAGAGTATATTTCGGAAAAATGATATTTTACAAAGTAACCTGGTTTTACTAGCACTCTGGTCTGGATGACTCGGGTCATCCAGGGTGGGGTGTTACAATAATAATAAAAAATAATACTATTTTAAATTATTATAAACAGACTGACATACTCTTATGGAGAAAAAACGTGAATTATAAGTATAGTTAATACTTACAATGAATACATTTTTATTACTCCGTATTCTTTACTACGCATCACACATTGATAATGCTATCTCAAAATATAATACTTCATACTCCATACGTAGTAACAATATTGAGAAAACATACTCTCTCCGTCCCGGAAAGAATTTCCTGTTTTGATTAACGTGTAAAACCCTGTAGATTTTAAAATGATTTTATTTGAAAATTGGTAAGGAAATAACATATAAAAAAATTATATTTAAAAACAACATCGAAAACTTTACAAAATAAGAGGCGACAAGAATATTTTATTTTATCAAATAATCAATGAAAACACGCAAACGAATTGGAAATATCGAGAGACCGTAATAGTAAACAGGAAAGACTTTTTGGGACGGATGGAGTATTATATATATTAGTTGTTCTTTCATTTACTCATTATAGTTATTAGATTAAACATCTAATGCATTAAACATTACTTTATTTTTTTTTAAAAAAATATTTTTTTAATTACTTAAAAGTTTTTGTTATGCGAACTGTGCCGGCCCAAAAGCCACGGGTTACCGAGCTCAGGCTTCAATTGTTAGGGCCACTATACCATTTGGGTTGTACTCGGGCCTAAAAGATGATTGTAATGTAGCATTTCCCCTTCTTTCTTAGACCTTTCTTAGAAGGGGCGACACATGGACGGCAATACGTATCGGAAAAAGAAAGGCAGCGGCGGATCTAAAGCGGCGGCGGAGATGAGCCAAGCAGCTGATAGAAAGAAGTTAAACGCAGCTTCGGATAAGCGATTGGACCGTTTGTCTCCCTCCACTTCTACCGCCACTTCCAGAGCCTTAACCTCTAAAGATCCTCGTTTGCCGATGCTAAAACCGGAGGAAAATCATCACAAGGCTTCTCGCTCTGCCGCACCCGACAACAACAATTCCAATGGTCTTTCTTCCTGCTCTGCTTCTCTATAAATGCTTGTGTGTTTGTGGTTATATTCTCGTTTGATGACAGAATTGTTTGTCTGTGTGCCTGTGTTAGCAGTAAGCAATGTATTTCCTTGTTTACATACTCTCTAGTCACTCCATCCCAAAATAGATTACATAGTTACCATCATGGTCTCCGGATAACTTTTCTGTTATTGGAAAAGTGTGAGGAAATTAATCTTGAACTAACTAATCGATTGGATTCAATCTTTTAATGTGGTTCAACCCAAGTGTCTTATTGCCCAATCTAGTTATCCATACCCATCCCAAATTCTATCATGGTATCGGAGCAGGTTTTGGCCCACCTCGTTTGTCAAGGTGTTCGTCTAGATGTTCATTCTTAGCGGCCCGTTTGTCTTTAGCCTAGTGTTCCGTATGTAGTATGTACCCAACGGCATGTGGCCCATTTAACACGATTGCTCGTCTGGAAGTCCATACCCAGCGGCTCGTGGTCCTTTAGGTGTTGGCACTAAAAAAAAGTCAAGGGAATGGGAGTTCATTTGCAAGTGTCAACAAGTTAGATTCAAAATGGCCTGGTTGTCCACTTGAGGGGGAGTGTTAAAGAGCATCCCACATCGGAAAAGTGTGAGGAAATTAATCGGTATATAAGCTCTTGAGTTGAACTAACTAATCGATTGGATTCAATCTTTTAATGTGGTTCACCCCAAGTGTCTTATTGCCAATCTAGTTATCCATACTCATCCCAAATTCTATCATTTTCTATGTTTTTATTGACCATTTGATAAAATAAAGTATTATTTTCACCACTTATTTCATAGAATTTAGTTGAATTTTTAAATATGTAAATTATATTTTTTATTTCTATTCCAATTTATAAATAAATTAAATTTAAAAAACACATAATTTTGCACGTTTTTCGAATTGTGGAATCTAATTTGAGACGGAGGTAGTATATCTTAACAATTGTGCTGGATGGTTTGTACATTTAAATATTAAGTGCACTTAGGCAAGAGCGCATTGGGATGTGTTGCATTAATGACGATCAAACTATATCATTATAGTTCTGCATTTTAGTTGTCTAATATCTTAAGCTTGTACTATACAAATTGGACTTTGAAATAGCATCTTACTTATTTCAGTATTTGTATGTGTCATCCTTGTTTAATTTTCAAGACTTCAAGTGAACTTTAATACATTGTGTCCTTTATGAAGCAATAATGAGAATTGGCATGATGAATCCAATAATGCCTTGCAAATATATGAGTAGATAAACACAGGACCTATGCTAAATTGCCAAATTGAAATGAATATTTTTCTAGAAACAAGATTGTGTTTCCTTTTTTAATACACCATATGTTTTTTTGTTTGAACTAAAGGTCTTTCATGAATATCCCCACTATGTTTTTAGCTAGGGGTAAGGTTTGCATACACCTAGAGTCCATGACATGGTTATCAATGACGCAAATTGCGATCACCATTTTGCGCCATTGGCGACTTGGGGAAGCTTTTCCACAAAATGGGAATGACACTGGGTATGCCTATGGTGATGCCATTTGCATGCCATCACCACACCTCGCCATTTGCTTGCTATATATTTATTTTTATTTTTATTTGGCACACTTCATACTATCTCAGGTCCAATCCAGAAAAAGTCATTCAAAAAATCAATTTAACCTTACCATCAATTTCAGTTTTTCTTCGTCTCCACACATGTGTAACATTCTCACATCGCCGATACCAACCCTCAGGGAACCAGAATTCAATATATTTCCCATGTTGACCTATCCCCACTGATGATCTCTCTTCTTATTTGTGCCTCGCAACCACCTCTGATGTCTCTTCCTATTTACAATCTCGGATAAGGTTTGCCAATGAACCTTTTCTTCTTCTTCATCTTATTTTAAAATCAGTTTATGTGTTATTATTGATTTATTTTTCCTGCTGGAGGTATGACTCTTTAGTTCGTACTTTTGACTCCAGTCCTCGGTGTCATATTAAGGGGCCTATGGTGTTCTCTTGGGCCCAGGATTAGGCCCTACACTCCTACCACCTGCCCTCTCTCCATTCCCCTTGCATGGCACTGACTTGCTACAAGCTGTAGCAAATCAGTGTTTCGAAGGAGAGTTGGGGGAGGGGGTTATAGGTGAGGTAAGACGTGATACCAGGCCCAATGAAGCATGGTAGAGCGTGATGTCCTATAATGATACCAGAACCCAGTTTCAAAAGAATTGTGGTGTATAAAATATTTGTTTTTTATTTTTTCATTATCTATATAATTAATTCCTTGATGTATTTAATTACTTGGTGGGATGTTTATCTGGCATAATGGTTTGTTTTGGTTTAATTGTTCTTTGGTGGCATATCCCATCTTCTGAATAAATAAAATATTTGAGCAGATGTTTAGTCATGTTTAGTCACACGTGGTTCTCATTTGTTTGGGTATTTTCATCAGTTTCTCCTAGTCCCTTAAATTAATAAAGGATGTCAAACCATCAATGTGTTTATTATTAATTGATGCATAGTCACATACCATAATGGCCATTCAGAAATAATTTTCTAGGGAGCACAATATGCTTTTATGTATGTATATAACAAAAATATACTTCTTTCTCCCATGTAGATCTGCCGATGATTCTAGTTGATTAGGGGATGCTAGGATTAAAAATCCATTATTTAAAGGTCAAACTCTAAACCCACAAGGGTAGCCAAGATTGTCATTGTGAAAGCAAGGTCCCATGTTCGAATCCCACAAGGGATTTTCTATTGACCTTCGTTTATCCAATTAGTTCATTCAAGGTTGGCTTAATTTCCCATGAGTCTTTGCCAGCTAAGACCATGTGTCAGGTTTACCTAGAAAATACTTCTTCCATCCCATGAAAGAGCTATTTTTCTAAACATTTTGTGTCCAAAAAAAAGAGACTCCAGTCTAAACTAAAGAAGCTGATTTTGATCATATTTAAAAAAAATTATTCAAACTATGTCTCATACAAGTTGTGACTTGAGCGTGTTAAATTTAGTTAAACCATCAAATAAATTTAAAAGGTATAGCTATATTTGGTGCTTTCTAAAAGCTTTAACTTACTAAAATTAATGCTTGTACTAATGTGAACAATGATTATATTTATGAGGCACCTGGGATATTATGTTTACACCATACATTTATATAAAATTGATAGTATCTTGGACACAATAACCAACTAACTAAACTAGTTGACATTCTATTTCTATTTGCAAAAGACCTGAGTTTGAATCCCAGAAGGTACTTTTTTTTTGGTAAAACAATCAACAACAACCCAGTTAAATCCCACAAGAGTAGGGTCTGGGGAGGGTGTGTACGCAGACCTTACCCCTACTCGAAAGTAGAGAGGCTGTTTCCAAAGACAACCCAGGCTCAACGTCAAAAGTTGCATTGCTTGACTAACTGCTACTTCATTAATTAAAGAAGCACAGACAGTTTAGAGATTCATTTTGATTTATTCCATCACACCCCAAAGCCAAAAAATGGTGAAATTTTGGCTCCATCGGAGATGATGGAAAAGTTTTTTTTTTTGGTAAAAAATGATATAATTTGATTTGAAGGCTGGTTCTGTCTATGCATGGTGGTAAGGTTGTGGGTTCCTATGTCGTAAAAAATGGGGCCAACCGGTAAGTTCAATGAACAATGAACCTTGTACTCTGTTCACGAGATGGAACACTAAATTTTAAATCTGGAGAGCTTATGTTAAATGGTATACATGTGTATGGCGAGATCCACTTAAGTTATCTAATGGGTCATATCCAAGTGCTACACATCATTGCTTGAACCTGGTCATGTTCTCGGCTTTCACATTACTTGTATGTTCAACCATTTGGTTGTATACAAGGGTGTATTCATTTACAAAGAAATGATTTGTGCACTATCAACACTTAGCTAATTATTTTCTAGATTATTGAACAGCCACCAATATATTTATTCAAATATTTACTAATGTTTTTCTTTTGCCAGTGGAATCTGAAACGGACAGTGACGAATCAGATATTAGTGGTTCTGATGGTGAAGATACATCATGGATTTCATGGTATTGCAATCTACGTGGGAATGAGTTCTTCTGCGAAATTGATGATGGCTACATCCAAGATGACTTTAATCTTTGTGGTCTTAGCAGCCTAGTTCCATATTATGATTATGCACTTGATTTGATCTTGGATGTTGAATCTTCTCACGGTTGGTTTAGTTTGATTTATTAATTGAAACTTAGTTGCACATATATACTTTTATGATTTATGAATTATGATTTTATGTGTATCAACTTGACTGGATTCTTTTTACCAACGTATAATTATTTTATCTCTTTGATACTCTCTCCGTCCCAAAATGATCTTCCCACTTTCCTTGTTTGGACATCCCAAAATTTATTTTTTCATTCCTCTCAAGGATAGAAATGCGTCGTTCACTATTCTGCATAAACTTCAGCAACACAGTTTCACTATTTTTAAACTACATGCCATTTTTGCATGGAATGCTCTTTTTGGGACGAAGGGAGTAATATAGAAGAATTTATTAAAAGAATCATGTCATATAGGGCAAATAGCAATACGTAAAAAGAATGAGTATTTTTCATTATTAATGATGAATTCTCATTCTTTCATTGCTCTCCACCTGCCAGCCTTTGTGCTTTTGTGCCTGAAAGAAACCAAGCAAATACTTGAGATATAGACTATCCAATGAGATCTGGTTACCTAATTTCATACCAATTTCATGTTTGTTTGACTGCTTGTGTGGGCTTGTATTTTCCTAGACATCATTTAACTTCCAAGATTGACTCAGCACTGCATCACAAGAAAAACTCCATCCATAAGTTACTATGTTGTGCCTAGTTTTCCTAAAGCATGTGCATTTATCTTGCAGACAAGACATTCTCCACACATATAACACCTTAAGTTCAAGCTAACCAGCAGTCCTTGCCCAAAACACACATGATGCACATTTAAGTAGTAGTCGGTCTTCTGAGATTGTTGTAGTTCATCGAATGGTCTAGTGTCTAATTTACCAGCTTTAAAAAATTATTTCCCATGTTTCCAACAGTCATTTCAGTTTTGCATGCTCTAAAATAACACTACAAACTTTTCACAAATCAAACACCTTGTGAACTTGAACCTGAGTCTTTCTAGATTATACTTTTTAAGATTATGAGTGTTCATGTCATTGATTGGAATCATATGTAGGTGACATGTTTACGGAAGAGCAGAATGAAGTCATTGAGTCAGCAGCCGAAATGCTTTACGGCTTAATACATGTCCGTTATATATTGACAACCAAAGGACTTGCTGTGATGGTGAGAATCTTCCCGCATGGTACAAATTCATGATGTCTCATCTTTTATAGTGGGGAATTGTCAATATGCATTTTTGCAGCAAGAGAAGCACAAGAACGCTGAATTTGGTAGATGCCCAAGAGTTTACTGCTGTGGTCAACCTTGCCTCCCAGTTGGCCAGTCAGACATTCCCCGGCAGAGCACAGTAAAAATTTACTGCCCCAAGTGTGAAGAAATATACACTCCTCGATCTCGCTATCAAGACAGTATCCTTTTTCATTCTCTTGAGATACCATTGAACATAAGCGCTTTGTTACTTCATGAACTCTGGAAAATGTTTTTGCATCGGCTCTGCCTTCTGTTTATCTTCACCCCTCCTCTTTTGCTCTTTGGGTGGGTGGGGAAATGGATGAATTGATTACTATTCAATATCGGCAAATTCTATGGTGGATCTAAGGTCCACCACCTACAATTAGCAAAATAAACATTTTCTTATTACTTAAATAAGCATATGTTATTTTTAATTAAAAAAATAAAAAAAGACTTGTGTGAGAAGGTCCACAAAAATACTATGCACCCAAGGTGCACCAAAGAAGCACTCTTCAATATCGAGTGAATTAGGACTGCTTAATCAAAGAATATTTGCTTAAAAAATCAGAGGCTATATGTAATGTGTTGCATCATTTGTAGATAATTTCAATGCGTATTGCAATCAACACTTTGTTATTGTTTCCTTTACCATATGAAGGCATCGATGGCGCTTATTTTGGAACAACATTTCCACACCTTTTTCTGATGAGTTATGGACACTTGAAGCCACAAAAGTCTTCTCAGAGCTACGTTCCTCGAGTATTTGGTTTCAAAGTCCACAAGCCTTAATCTCCATGTAAGGTAGGTAAGTTTTCAAGTGATAGCATGTACCACCCCCCCCCCCCCCCCCGAAACAATTTGTAATGTATTCGGAATTGGTAGGAGCTCGGGCTATACGTTCATTGACTCATTGTTATCATCAAGTTACCTGTGCTATAAGTGCTATAATATCATTTCTCTAAAAGCAGTTTTCTTTCATTTTCCTCTGAGTGAACTTATTGTTCTTTGTTCTGTTTTAATAACGAAGACCATAGAGAGGCTTCTATTCCAATTTGTATTACCTCTGTATTTTTAATGTAAACTCCGTAAGATAGAAAGTGAAATTTGCACTAAATATGACTAAATCATAAGTCATTTACCAATGTAGGACTTAAACTTTTTTATTCTCTAAATAGTACTCCTTCCGTCCCAAATTATAATGCATGTTTATTATTCACAGGGTCAAACTTCATTCACTTTCTTTCTCTATTTTCGTTAGAAATGTGATAAAATAAAGTATTATTGTCACTACTAGTTTTGTAGATCTTTTGATGTAGTATTTTAATATGTAATTTTCATTTCTTAACTATATACCATTTGTCATATAAAATGATTTGAAAATAATTTCAGTCAAATCTCGTAAATTGAAACAGGCGTTATAAAATGTGACGGAGGGATAATTTAATAATATTTAGTGAGAGGAATTATGTCCAGTGATGGTAGACATTTATTTGAATAATGACTAATGGATTTAGTGAGAAGAATTTTGAGAAAGTCATTGTTTTAATCATATTTAGGCAAATTTTTCTTTTAAAAAATGTTGTGAATACAGTAGTAGTTGTTGAATACCTATACCATACATTTGGATTTACGGTATTTTTTGTACAATCGACATGAATACTCATTTTCGAGTAACTGAATATTCATTTTTGAGTAATTGAATACTTATTTTCAAGCATAATTAAATTTTAAGAAAGTGATTGTCCAGTTATGCAAAAATGAGTATTTAGTTGCTCGTAAATGAATATGTTGCGGATGTACGAGAAACATCATAGAACCGAGTGTACAGTATCGTCTCAGTTTTGAACTGGAATGGTATTTGTGCCGTATGGAATAGCAGAATAGGGAAGAATTTATTAGTATCTCGTTGTGTGAATTTTATATTGTGAAAATGGCTCTATTTCGTACTCAAAAAATGAGTCTTTTAGCAGAATAAGGCTCCGTTCAACTTATTTTTTCTGATCTGATCTGATTCTAATAAGTTCTGATCTGATCTGATCTGATCTGATCTGATCTGATCTGATTGGATCTGATCTGATCTGATTGGATCTGATCTGGTCTGGTCTGATCTGATTAATTATGAGTTAATTTAAAATTTCAAATCAATAATTTAATTTGACTTTATAATAATGTTTGAAAATTGTAATGATAATTCATATTATAATATAATCAATATTTTTTATTTAATGATTCCTTTTTAATAAAATAAAAATAGTTAATTCATATATTAGAATAATCATTCATATTATAATGTAATAATATTTTTTATTTTATGATAATTTTTTTGTAAAATTAGAATTATACATTGGAATAAATATTTAATTTAGATATACATTTATAAGTAATTAAATTTAGATAATCAATATATAGAAGAGATAGTATTTTTATTAAAATATTTCATCCTTATAAAAGATCAAAAGTTTAGAAACTCAAATTACAAGTAGCAATAAAAATATATTTTAAAAGTAGAATTAGATTGACATTGTCAATGTATTTTAAAACTAATTTTTCCGACGTCTAATAATTAAGGATTACTTTCTCAGCTTTTTATTTAACCTATTTCTAAAGTTTATTTTTTTCATTTTTAAGAACAATAATAATAATAATAATAATGATGACGATGATGATGATGATGATCATAATAATAATAATAATAATAATAATAATAATAATATAATAATAATAATAATAATATAATAATAATAATACAATAATAATAATAATAATATAATAATAATAATAATAATAATAATAATAATAATTCTTGATGAGATCTTATTTTAATAAGTCCTGATCTGATCTGATTGGATCTGATTGGATCTGATCTGATCTGATCTGATTCAATCTGATCTGATTCGATCTGATCTGATCTGATCTGATCTGATTTTAATAAGAATAAAAAAAATAAGAAAAAATAAGTTGAACGGAACGGGACCTAAGACTAGGACTTTTTCCGGAAGTAGTACGGAGTACTACTCATTTTTGTTCAAAAAGTCAATTATAACCCTCACGCAAATCTATGGTAATCAGCCCATTTATTTCAATATCGTTCTACTTTGAATTTTTTGGTTATTTTGACCAATAAATTTTACTATAATATAAATTTATATTTTTTTTGTCATTTACTTATGAATTTTTCAAAAACTACTCGAATTTTCCTTGAAGATTAACAATGGACACTCTCAACTTTTAAAAATGCTTCATCAATCATACATCTACGTCAGGTTTGAGAGTACGTTAATTACATGCTCATCTAGTGTAAGTGTGAACTTATCTAATCTCATATATCACACATGATGGTGTAAATTATTTTGATCGCTCTATCGTTCTAGTCGGGCAAGAGCAATAAACTATTCTTCTACTTAACCCAAGGTAGTAGCATGTAGATTTTTTTACGTGGAAATGCAACTGCAACGGACCATTTTGCTGGTATCATGCCAATTGGGAGATTTTATTAACATCAGGGGGTTGGGGTTGAAATGGTACGGTTTCGGTTCTGGTACTGCCGCCCTTTAGCAACATTGCCGGTAGTGGTTGTCACGGTGCTGGCACCAGTTCCAGAACCAGTGGTTCCAGGCCGGTTTTGGCGGTTCCATTTTTTAGTTGTAAATATGTAAGTGTAAAATAAATTAAATGTTCTTATGAATTATAATTTCTAAGAATGTAGTTATTTAAATAATGAAAAATGAATAGTACAAAAACAACTACAATTAATATCCTGATGATTCAAAAAAAATGACGAGATAAAGAACCATAAAGAAACCATCGAAGGAGCTTATAAATCACTCACTTAAAAAAACTAATTAAAATATAAAATAAAAATATAAATTTATTTCTCAGAACTACCGCTTCCCTCTGTGGTTGCATCCATGTAATTTTGTTTATCAATGTCGTACCTTGACTCTTGACCTTGATGTTTTGCCAAGAGCCAATCTTGGTTGCAAGCAAGTGTCTCAAACGATTCATAGCTAAGACAACTTCGATAGTCAGTTAGAATGTAGTCGCTAGAATTGAACTCTTGTTTCACAGCTACAGTTGAAACCGGTATGAATAAGACTTGTCTAGCTAGCACTCCGAGAGATGGGAGCATGTGTTCATTCTACTTCCACCATTCCAGGACGTGGAACTCGCTATCGTTGTCTTCATCTTAGTCGCATGGGACCCCTTGGTACATCGCAAGTTCATTGTGCGAATTTACACTTGTACCACTTGAACTCATCGAGGTAAAACTACGCTTACCTTTTTTCGCCAAGAGGCCACCGACTATCCCTTTAAAACCTTTTTTATCTTTGGAGGCGGAAGAGCTGCCATTTCTTCTTGTGCACTACCGTACAAACCTTGATTTTTTTAAAAATAATGACTCAAAAAGATCAATAGCATTATCTCTATCTTTTGTCCATTTTATTAAATGATCATAAAAATACCTATTTTCATCTAAAAAACAACTAGACTAATACTCCATGAGAACTTTAAAATTATCAATCTTAAAGCATGGATCACAAATAATACTAATTTTATAAATATCAGAAATATACAAGTAATAAGCACACTATTTATCCTTCATAGGATACACATAGGGGTACAAAAGTGGATCAGATAAACTTTCACGAAAATATATTGCAATTGTAATACACTCAGAAAAAATCTATTTGTCGTAGGTTTGTAAACATGTGAAAAAGTAAGAGTTGCATTATTAAAAACTTTTGACACGGTGTTCAATTTTTCAACAAGAATAAATTCATTCAAATCAACCATATGATGAAGTTCATACCTGAGAAATTAAGCAAGTTCATCTTTATAGTCTAGAATATCTGAAATCAACTTATATGTACTATTCTATCTAATTATAATGTCCTTGCAAATGTTATTGATTTTCTATTCCTAGATTTACAGAAAGACATTCATGCCTTTGAATGAATACGACTAGCTCAAATCTTTTTTACACCATCCTTAATATTGGTAAAAATTCACTTTGTAGCTGCTAATCCCTGTTGAACACACAAATTTAAAACATGACACACGCGCCTCTGGTGTAGACATCTACCCATGACGGTGCTAGGGGCAAATTTCTCTAAGTCTAGGAATGACATCAGTATTATTAGTAGCATTATCAAAACCAAGTACAAATATTTTATCAAGTAAATTGTATTATTTGAGAATATACTCAAGCAAAAGAACAGTATTATCACCTGTGTGAGATTCATTGAAATCACGAAATGCAAAAACATGTTTATGCATTATCCAATCCCTATATATCCAATGACAAGTAACACTCATGTAAGACAAGTTATGAGAAGTTTCACTCCAAATATCAGAACAGAAAGTAACACGAGAATTAAAAATAAGAAAAAAAATTGCCAGGTTATTTTTTTCAACTTTATATAATACTCTTTTTGAATTATTTTTCTTGAAAAACCTCTTGCTTGAGGGTTTAGTGTGGTTTGAAAATAATCAATAAATCCAAGTTTTTTAGAAATATGTAAGGTAAATTTTTCTCACAAATCATTTCGGCCATTTTTTGCTTATTTTGCTCATCGCTATAAGCAAAAAGGCCGCTCATACCCTTGTTTGCAAAATGAGAAATTTGAGTTTGTACTTGTCCATTCTTCACCATTATTTTAGCATACTCCACGGGGTGCTCCGCTTGAGGTGTTTGGTAGGTCCACCATGACCCCCGGAAGTTCTCATTGTGATAGCCCCACAATGGTTAAAAATCCGTATTTTTGCACCATTTTTTGTATCTTTATGAAAATGATATACAAATAAATCAAATTTAGGTTTCTTACCTTTCCCCAAACCATCATAGGCCTTGGGCTCACCTGTCTCCTCGTCCTCGTCGGTAGGACCGTTGCACTCAAGTTTTGGTTTGACCTCTTTATCAACGTCCTTGAATATATCTTTAAGAGT